TGCAAACCAATATATATAGTCTTGGTGGAGAGAGACAGACTAAGTGTGTTGAGTAAAGTAAACAGAGTCGGTTCACTCACGACTACTGTGTTTGAACGACGATAAAAACCTGAAATCTGATTACGTAATAGGATTCTCAGAAGGTTCTCAGTGTACCATCTCTTTTTCTTTTTTTGTGCCATGATAATTTTTTTTTTAAACCATTTGATAAATGAGAAAACATTTTTTTTTCTTAACTAATAATGCTAATCAAGATATCAAAGAAAAGACTTTAAGTGTAATTTTTAAAAATTTGATTTGTAAATGTGCATGAAGCAAAAAGACTTGGAACAAAAAGCAGTGCAATTAAAAAAAAAAATACTGTGAATTTATATAGGACCATATCCACAAAATGCACTAAAAAAAATTTATGATGAATAGTTACAGTATCACCCTGTAGACTAGACATAGACTATATTTTGAGTCCCGAGCTCATGCATAGATATATATGGGCATTGACTGTGGATTGCGTGCAACTCCACAACAATAACAATCGGTTTCCTGTGAGTCAATATGGAGATGATTTCAATTTGTCCCAAGCACTTTCGCACGCTTCCACTAACAGCATTCTCCCTGAGTGGTAAAGTCATTTTCATGCTGTAAATGAGAGAAAATTGTTTTTGCCTTTAGGTGTGTGCAAGAATTTTTGTTGACCTTTAAAGATTTCATATTAGGAGTTTTAGAAATAGTAACTTAACAAAAAGACTAGAAACTATTTTATTATATATTGTAATTATAAGATACTAGCATATACCTGTGCTCTGCACGGTGTTAAATGAGTGTAAAAATATGGCGAGGCATATAGAGTAGTTAAATGTTACGATGGATTTACATAAATTTGAGGTGTGTTTTGGTGGAGTTGACTTGACCCTAATCTTTAGTTTCACTATGTATCTTAACACAACCCCATGAACAGTTTGTAGTCTTTTAGTATTAGAAAAGAATAGGTGCGAGTTATTTTGCCCTCGGGTGTTAAAGGCTATTGTACGTCGAAAACACACATTTCTTATCTCAGTAGTAGGCCTAAAATAGTGTAAAATTTAATTTAATAAAACGTAATTTTCCAAAATCATCACATTCTTCAATAGTTTGTCTTTAGAATATCTAACTATCTGTGAATAATAACTATACAGTAGTTTGATATAAAAATTGTCTCTGTTTAACATATCATTTTACGGTGTTTGCTGTTGCTTTTGTTATTGCTGTGGCAGATTTAGGAATTTGAAGTAGAGAAGTAGGGGGCCTTGCTAGCTATTTATAGGCCAGCCTATAGTAGTAGTAATAGTAGTAGTAGTAGTAGTAGTAGGTAAAATTATTAATGCTAGCATAAACCCGTGCTCTGCACGGTATTAAATGAACGTGAAAAACGTAATTTAGTTAAGTATTATGGGAAGCTGAGGAGGCAATAATTTAGGATTTTTTATTTGCCTTGTTATTATTTTTTTCTAAAGGACCTCATAATGTTTTGTGTGAGTGTCTGCCGAATAGTCCTTGTGAGGAATTGTCCATTTTGATAATACATTTGAATACAGTACCCTCTTGCATGTGAAAATGCAACATATACATTTGGGAATGAGATAAATATTTTTCGTTATGATTAAAGTAGGTAAATGCCTATAACAATGGTACAAAAGTGAGGAGATGTGTAGTTTTTATGTGACGTAAACAATTCACAAAACATGGCCGTTAAAGTACTCATTTTGGGTGCTTTTTTGCAGTTTCGTTGTCATCCAATATGCAGCCTAGAAAAGTAGACTGTCTAATAGTGACAAATAGAAACCCCAGTGTATGGGAGATGAGCACATTCCTGCCAGCAGTTTCAGAGGGGATAGAAGTTACGCGGAGGCGATTAGCAGTTAATATATCATACTGTAGCTTTAATCCTGATGCTCATGTATTTGATCCTTTATTAGCAGACCAAAGAGAGCTTAGGCGAGACTTTTTTTATACCTTGTTTTGCCAAAAACATCCAGACGGAGGAGAAAATACAAATAAAATTTTATTGGTGAATGTAAACAGTGTATTAATAAGATGGTTAAATGCCTTAAATTTATATAATTAGGAAGAAATAGGCCTATACATCTATTTTGAAGATTTCAAGGCAATGGTAGGCATAATAAAAATAAAGAAAAACTTTTAATATTTTTTTCTGAAATTTTCATTTATTTGTGGCAGCGGGTACGCTAATTAGTCAAAAATAAAATTTTGTTTTTATACAAAATCGCCATTATTGGCGGTCGATGGGTTCGTTAAACAAGCTATGAAAAAAGTCTTGCCTTAAAAAAGGTATAGAAGTTGATGAAGTTATTAATAAGTGTAACGATGATTATTTATAGTAATATTATTCTAGGATGACCATTTGTTACATTTTTAGTAGACCATTGGGAGTTTATAGAAAGTATTTTTATGACCATAATAAATATAATGTTATATTGGCTAATCCCAGCTTCACATAGAATTGATTAATGTGGGTGTTTAGTAGATCAGTGAGAGTTTCAGAAACTGTATACAAGACAGAACCCTACAGTATGTTGTATATTATTATTACTACAAAATACAAATAATTATAAAAATAATCCTATCTACGATAGCCATGCGTGCACAGGCCTGTAGTTAGTAGACGAATAGTAATAATTTATTGCTGCGAAGCAGCCAATTCATATTCTTGACAGCAATTTGACCTCTGAAAGGTCATTGTTTGTCAAAAAACCTGCGCCTAAGACAACTGAAAAGCGGAGTTTCCTTCTTTCGTTCTGCCGGGTAAAATCAATTACTTTAGGCGACGTTTGTAGACTAACCTACTCGTACCAACGTCCGCATGTCGCGACGCTGGAGTAGGCCTACTATTCAGCGTTTTTAATATATTTCTAAGTTTCCTATTTCTACGTTTAATCGGCTCATGTCTCAATATTTTGAGGCCAATATTATTTACGAACCCAGTTAAACTTATTTACTAGCCTATTTCAACGTGCTAATTATTACATTTAGGTGCCGCTTGTTGTAGACTGGCATACTGTTTTCGGAAATAAATACCATTTTATACACATGCGCATATCGATTCGCCAGCAGCGAGTCATCGCCAGCAGCAACGAGTCGCCAGCAGCGAGATGTCACTGCAGCAAAACATTATTGTACACGGTACCAACGCTGTTCTAATATAGACAATGGGTCGTGTCTCATATTATTTGTTATATTTTTATTATTCATTATTTTCACTTGACTCACATAAATAATTTTGTTCGAAGAACATTTTATGCAGTTTTACCTCGCAGCACTTCACTTGCAATTTGCAATTTCTAGTTTTAAGATATATTCTGATTGTAAAATACTGTATTATATATTACAGAAACCGAAAGGTCCACTGATTAATTTCAGATAAGAAAGTATAATACATACTCCAAGTATTGAAATACATGCCACACAATGGCATGTATTTCAATACTTGGAGTATGTATTATACTTTCTTATATATTACAGCTTACAGTAAAAATTAGGGCCTACATGATACCAGTATTAGGTACTTGTAGAATTCTAACTTTTAGAAACAGCAAACAAGTTGATGTACAACATAGTGACATATAATAAGCAATATTTTAGAGTGATATATTTTGTGTTGCATATTTTACTAGCTCTACTAACTCTCTGCGTGAACAGTATACTACAATTCATGAAGACTTACTGTAGCCTCAGGCACAATGTGCTTAAACAAGTTTGCGTAGTAATAATTGTTGTTGCTTATTAGCATGGTATATTGCATAATGCAAATGAGTGTAAATTCAATTCAGTCATAATAACGTAGCCCACATTACAGTAATATTATTAACTATTCAGATATGTGATATATCAACCATGAAGTCTCTTTGTATCAGTAAAACCAAGTTGTTGATTTGAAATTGTAAAGCATGGTTTACATAAAATCGCTACACGTTATCGCCGACAGCTTTTGGTGATGCTGATTGGTTGGTCGATTCAGGAAGCCTTCCTGATTGTGTGGGGGAAAACGCTGTAGTGATTTTAATGAAACCAGGTTTAACATTTATATTTAATAACAGAAAAATATGTTTTTATATTCTGCCAAAAAATATCTCTTGCAATCATTATATTTACAACACTAAAACATATTTTCATAATGCAAGTGAGTGTAAATTCAATTCAGTCATAATAACCTAGCCCACATTACAGTAATAATTATTAGCTATTCAAATATATCAACTAAGGTGTCTTTATGAGAAAACCAAGTTGCTGATTTCAAATTGTAACATTTATATTCAATACCATAGAAAAAAATATGTGTTTATATTCTGCTAAAAATATCTTTCACATTCATAATATTTACAATATACTAAACATACTTTTCATAATCCAAATGAGTGTAAATTGAGTTGTCATAATGTTAGTCAACATTACATTTAATATTATTATGTGATATATCAACCAAAAGAGTCTTTTGTATGAGTAAAACCAAGGTCTTAATTTGAAATTGTAAACTTTTATATAAAATAACAATAAATATTTTTCTCTATTCTGCCAGAAATTCCTTGCAATATGGTACTAATAAAACCGAAAGGTCCACTGATTAATCTCAGATAAGAAAGTATAATACATACTCCAAGTATTGAAATACACGCCATTGTGTTGGGATTCAATATTTCGACATTAATTATGTCATCATCAGGAATGATGACCCTTGCACTCCTTTGGACCCCACCAGTGATGGAAATAGAGGGGGATTCTGACGCATGGACAACCCAGGATCTCCAAATTCACTGCCCAGGCACGCCATCGTTCATGGCGTATAGCATCGTCTTTCGAGACGGCTGGCCTATATATATATATATATAATACATATAATTTTTGGGTCTTATATAGAACGCTGTTATGGCAATGGTGTTTCACATTATACCAAATTGTATTGTATAGATATAGAAAATATACTAAAACATATTTTTCTTCTACTGCAGAAATATTGCTGGATTTCATGCGTCACCTGCCAGCGTTTGCAAACATGACGATGTCCGTGAGACGGGCGCTGTGCGCTGTAATGGTCTTTGCTGTTGTTGGGAAAGGAGGAACTGTTGTTATGAAAGACGAAGAAGAGGTATAAGATAATTTGATTTCATTGTTACCATCGCATACTTTACTCATATAAATGAATACGACTCAATGATATGGAACACATGGTATCATTTAATGTGGCCCATAATGTCTGTAATTATAATGATCTATAATAGGATTTTCTATACTGTTTAAAATCATTTCTTTTTTTAAGAATTAAGACCAAGATAACAAAATGTTATAACATATTTATAAATGAAATGTGTACAACACTGAAATCCTGACAGGTATTGCTTAGGACATGTCACAATCCTAGGTATCATTACCTGAAAATTGAACAAAATAAATTGATTTATGGTAATGAAATGTAATATTAAATCAATACTAAGCCATATGTGTGATGATGTTTTTCAGCTGGACTCTTGGTCTGTTATTTTGAATGGCAGTGTCGTTATCTCTCGGCCTGATGGCCTCGATGAGCACTTACATCTTGGGGACAGGTAAATGATTAATTTAAAGCCCCTTTCACATTATCAAATTTTAAGTGACATGCCTAAATATGGTCATGATGACATCACATCATGACTATATATAGGCAC